AAGGAAGGAAGGAAGGAAGGAAGGAAGGAAGGAAGGAAGGAAGGAAGGAAGGAAGGAAGGAAGGAAGGAAGGAAAGAAAAGAGCTAGCAAGAGATGCTAGTGAGGATACAGGAAAGGAGAGCCACACTTCCTTGGTAGAACTACAAGTTGGTGCAGCCACTGTGGAAATCAATGTGGACAATTCTCAAAAAGCTAAAATCAGATCTACCACATGACCCGGCTAGCCACTCCATGGCATTTACACGCCCAGGAAGACAGAGGCTACATAGTCTCTTATCTACAGATCCTAGCTCCCGTCTTCAGGTGTGAGTATATTATCTGCAGTAACCATGGAAACCAGGAAGTAAGGGGGAGCTCTAGAGAGGACTAGAGGGATACAGGTGCCATGGAGGGGAAATGGGGGAAATGGGCTGGGGGGGGGACTCACCTGGGGAGGGAGAAGGGAAGGAAACAGAGGGAGGGGGGCAAACAACACCAAGGACCTGTGACAAAGCCAAAGGAAATGGAGAGTGTGTGTGTGGTGTGTGTGTGTGGTATGTGTATGTGGGGGGGGGTGTGTGGGGGATATGTATGTGTGTGTAGTGTCATGTGTGTGTGTGGCAAGTGTGTATGTGTGTGGGGTGTGTGTGTGGAGTATGTGGTGAGTGTGTGGGGTGTGTATGTGTGTGTGTGGTGAGTGTGTGTGTGTGGGGGGGTACATCTGTGTGTGGAGTGTGTGGGGATTGTGTGGTGAGTGTGTGTGGAGTGTGTGGCAAGTGTGTGTGTATGTGTGTGAAGTTTGTGGTGAGTATGTGGTGTGTGTGTGTGTGTGTGTGTGTGTGGTGAGTGTGTGTGTGTGTGTGGGGGGGGTACATCTGTGTGGTGAGTGTGTGTGGAGTGTGTGGCAAGTGTGTGTGTATGTGTGTGGGGTGTGTATATGTGGGCATGGGCGGTGTATATGTGTGTGTGGCATGTGTATGTGTGAGGGGTGTGTGTGGGGGGGGTGCAGTTTAAATGAATTCATGCCTCTTTGGTAACAATGCTCTATCCAAAGGCCATAAACTACGGTGGCTATTTTTAATTGGTGATTTGACACAATCTACAATCACTTGAGAGGAGGATCTAGAAACTCTAGCTCAGGTGGCCCGTGGGCGACTCTTTTATGTTAATTGGCTCCTGGACTGTGTATTTGTAGAGAGGGCGCTGAGCACAGACAGGCAGGCATTTTCCCTCTGCCCCTGCTGTGGGGGTGACTAGCTGCTTCAAGTTCCTGTCTTAACTTCCCCGAAATAGGGCACTGACCAAGAACTGAGAGCTAAAACAAAGTTGTTTTTTGTCAGGGAATTTCATCACACAACAGAAATAAAGCTGAAACGCCTCCCAGAGCAGGTGGATCTAGCTTGCAGTGCGGTCAGAACGGGACCTCTGTGCGCTGTGCATGTCCACCGGCCTGGATTCAAAGGCTAATGGGGGCCAGGCAGAGCTGGGAACTGCCGGACTCCCCTCTCTGCACAAGCACATCCCTCAGTCCCCGGCACAGCATCGGAACTTCTTGATATCATTAGCTGAGATGCATCAAACAAAAGGATCAGCAGAATCATTCGGCACTCTCCCAATGGACATTTCACCCAAACAATCCTGATCATCCATTTTGACTGGTCCAGTCTCACCCACAGGATACAGATACTCAAGAACTAAACACATCAAGACCACACACTTCTCTGACTTCAGGGGAGGAGGTGTAAAGTGTGAGGGTTTGATAAGTATGGCCTCCATAGGCTCATATATTTGAATGCTTAGCCACCAGGGAGTGGAACTGTTGGAAAGGATTAGAAGGACTAGGAGGTGCAGCCTTGTTGGAGGAAGTGTGTCACAGAGGATGGGCTCCTCAGCCTGTGGACCAGGATGTAGTTCCCAGCAACTGCTCCAGCACCTGCATGCCACCATGCTTCCCGCCATGATGACAACGCACTAAGCCTCTGAAACAGTAAGCAAGCCACCAATTAAATGTTTTCTTCTATAAGTGTTGCCTGGGTGGCGGTGTCTCTTCACAGCAATGGAACAACGACTAAGACATCAAGTTTATCTAAAGCTAAATATTTTTAAAGAAAAGCATTCTTTTTAAAAATATATAATATAAGAATCATTATCATTCGCAACACATGGCTATGTAATATTTTATGATTAAAACATAAAAGTGTGTATATATTATATCTTAATAACTCTAAGGATAATTTATACATTTGGATCCAGTCATACCTTTTCCTTCACTAAAAAATATTTACACAGCTATGTTATCAATAAAAATCATAGGCTTTATTACATCACCACCAATAACAGCACTCACTAGAAAGGCTGCTGTGCTGGGCAGTTTTCGTCAACTTGGCACAAACTGGAGTCACCTAGAAGGAGGCGCACTCAGCTGAGGAACTGCCTCCATCAGACTGGCTTTGTGGACATGTCTGTGGGTGTTTTCGTGATGAATGACTGACCGTATGAGTGACACCCCTGGGCAAGTGGCCCTGGAGTGCATAAGAGAGCAGCTGAGCAAGCAATGAAGCAAGCCAGCAAGCCACGCCCTCCGTGGTCTCGCTTCACCCCGTGCCTCCAGGCTCCAGCTCTGGCTTCCCTCAAAGATGGAGCCCGCGCATGAAATACAAACCA